TCGGAAAAATCTTGAAAAAAGAAAAAAGAAGAATTGAAAAAACAAGCCTTCAAAAATTCAGGGCCCTCTGGGTAAATTCGGAAACCATCGAATAATCTTCATGTTAATCATCGGAGTATATTCGGAGCTCGTACACTCTTCGGAAAATCATGCGAGTCGTTTTGAATTAATAAAACAGACGTTGAAATATTCCGGCGGAATTCCGGACTCAGGATTTTCCAGACTACCTCTTTTTCCCAGCCAACCAAAGAGCGTTAATTACTAAAAGACAACAATTAATCAGATTCCGAGGCTTGTTTAAACAATCCAATCAAAATAGAGGAAAATGAAAGACAACTTCGGCAACGTTCAGTTTTAAAAACCAGCTCAATACTGAATCAATTAGAAGTTTGCACATATTAAAAAATCCTGTATTTGAGCGACTGAATTTTGTAATTTGAAAATTAATGCAAAAAAGAGGTAATTGAACTTCGTGTTGATTTCAAATCACTGAAACTCGCTTTTGGCGCCCGTTCGATTATGATTTCAGACAAAATTACGTGCCTCTGAGTTCTATTACCATCATTTGAAAAAGTAGTTCATAGCTTTCTTAAGGAATTTGTAAAGTTTTTGCCATGCTGATTGAAAGGATTAAAATTTTTTGCCTGCTTGCTTCTCTTCATTTCTAGACTGGAAAACTTTTTGTCTTGTATGTTAAAGACGTCAATGACAATACACCAACCTTTATGAGTACACCTTATCTGGCCAGAGTTGCTGAGGTAAGATGTTTTCTCGTGTGTTAATTACTTGCCTCTTGACTCAACCTCGTTCCCAGGGCTTTTCCCTTTTTGAATATTTTGGCGGGCGGGAAAAGGCGCCCGCCAAAATATTCAAAAAGGGAAAAGCCCAGGGAACGAGGTTGCTTCTTGACTCTCAATTTGGCTGTTAAAATCTTGATTTTAAAGACAAAAGAAGCTCAGTTCATTTCTCTCGCCTGGTTAGCTCAGTTGGGGAATTGCTGGAAGTGTGCAAGGTTGAACTTTTAGCTGATCCCCAGACCTAAAAACAAACATTTATGTATGGGTCCTTAGATACATACAATATAAGATGGTCTCAATGAGGTTAACCGATAGCCGTAAAACGGCCAAAAAAATTGACAAATTTTAACCGATAGTCGTAAAAAAAGTTAACCGTTAAAAGAAAGTATGTTCACGTGACAAAGATAGAATGATATTAACCGTTAGCCTTAAAATAGCCAAAACTTAAACCGTTGGCCGTAAAAGCCATCTTTTCCTTGAGACCCTTGTATAATTTACTTGTGCGAATGTGTCAGCTCTGCAAGAAAATCTTACTCGTGCTTAGACATTTAAGTCCTAATGGTAGAGGAAAAAAAGAATTAATCAGGGCTCCGTCTCCTGCTTATATAGTTTTATTTTCTATGACATTAAATTTCATTAAAGGCCTCATGCACCATTCGCGAAGAGGAGGGTAATGTGTTTCGTCATAGATGGATGAATAAACTGATGGAGCTTCTCTGAATATCCGTAATTAGTACATACTAAAACAGTGGATAGCGTTGAAGGTGCGTTCTGATTGGCTAGTCAAACACCGAATATCCTTTGCTATTTACCTCCGAGCATTTCGGGGAAAAATGGCGTCCCGGTTTGCATCCGTGACAAGTGAAGAAATCACTCAAATTAACGACGAAGCAGTGTATCTTTTCTCACTAAAACTATGTACTAAAACAACTATTCACCTCAGTATCGGTGAATAGTTGTTAGTTAGATCTCGTTAGGTATATTCACTCACGTAAAATATTCTTTCATGTCACTGAGAAGCTTAATGCTGGTTCTCACAATCCTCATCCGTTCGTATTCAATAAAAAAATGGCGGACTCAAGGTTGAGAAGTCCGGATCAACATCTGCCTGAAAAGAGAAAATGATGTGAGAGAATAGATCGGTTTTCACTTTCTTTCGAGAAAGACAAAATTATAACGAAAGCAATGAAAGAGTATACATTTCATGAGAGGGATTTCATAGTATGCATATGCAAGTAATATTTAACAATTATTCGCCGAAGGCGAGGTGAATATCGTCGAATAATCCCCGAGACGAATTCGAGGGGATTACTCGACAATATTCACCGAACCTGAGGCGAATAATTGTTTTAGTATAATTTCAGAGCTGAACAACAGAGGAATTTCTAAAATCATTACATTTTAGTAACATTTATTAACATTTTATTTTAACATTTTATAAACCGCGTGGAGCGGTTTATATAGCGTCATATAAGGAAGCGCTCGACCAATCAGATTGCTGGAAACTCTTTGCTCAGCTCTGAAATTATACTAATAAATGATATTCTTCACCAGAACGACACAATTGGCGATCCTGTGATACAAGTTAGCGCCATCGATAAGGACCAAGGACAAAACGCGTTAGTGTCATATACATTCAGTCCATCAACAAAGGTAAAAGTGTAACCTGAGCTATGAGTTGTTTTTAACTAGTCTATATCATAGGGACACTTTGGATTCTAAGACAGATATGCCTTCGACTTCCAATCGTCAAACAATGGGCGCGTTTAAACCCNGTGGCCAAGGATCTGAACTCGGGGCTACCGTGAAACAAATCCAGTGGTCAGGGTGGGACTCGAACCCGGGAGCGGCGGATTACGAGTCCGACACTCTAACCACTCGGCCACACTGCCTCCCCCATACTCTAGCATCACTACAACTTCTGGGCGTTGTTTATTCTAAAACGAAGCACAAGCAATCTTGTCACACTCTCGTAAATCATTAGATGTACTACACATTTTAACAAAGCTTGTATCCTTCGCAGACGGATACCTTCGCGATCGACAATCATCTAGGAATAATAACTATCAATGGATCTCTTGACTTCGAGAAAGTGCAGCGGTACACGCTATTTGTTACAGCAAAGGTAAATAATATTGATAACTTACATTTGAACCAATAATTTCTATCCAATAATTAGTTCACGCAAGAATATCTAGAACAACGATTAGTGGTGACCTGTTTTCTAAGGTCTTAAACTATTGCGCGTGTTTGTGACAAACTAACCAAAAACATTTTTTTTCTCGTTCTCTTTCTCGATTTCTTTTTCTTTCCCCAGGATGGTGGAGATCCTCCGCTTGAGTCAGAGACAACAGTCATTGTTGAGGTTTCAGATGTCAGCGATAACCCACCAGCATTCCTGAGACCCATTTACCTCGAGTCCATTCCAGAGAACAAAGAAAAGGTACGCTGTATAACTGAAAGAAGGCACTTGCGTTTCTATTTTCATTTTATTTTAGGACAAATCATGAACTGCAATCACTTTAGTGGACGACGTTACCACGGAGGGCTATGCATTAACTTAAGGATATTTTTTTTCTCTCCAGGGTTCGTTGGTTGTTCAAGTTGAAGCAGTCGATGGAGACGCTGGCGTTGGAAATGCAGTCGAATATGAAATTATAGATGGTAAGTTTTACAACAAGCAAAATCATTGCAGTATGTAGTGATATCATAATTAGTCCACGAGACGACGTAAAACGCATTCCATAAACCAAGTTGGTGGGATACTAAAACATCCCCTTTTGGTGAGTGTGATCTGAATTGAGAGAAAAGTTAGCAGACAACTTCCTTCTCGACAACAATCCACAGTTTTTGTCGTTAATTCAGTCGTTAGTTTGCATACCATTCTATAAATCAATTCTACCTTATTCGTCAAGTCACTTTGATTCATCAGCTCTTTTCCTTTTTTTATCTGCTTTCCACCAGGAAATGACGAAGGATTGTTTGATATTGACAAGAGTTCGGGAAAAATTACCGTAAATGGCACCATTGATGCTGAAAAAATGGACTTCTTTAGAATTACCGTGAGGGTAATTAGCTTTCCATGTTAAGATTTAGTTTCGTTTGCCCAGTGAATCACTGATAAAGGTTTGGAGAGGGAAGCTTAGAATGTATGTCAGTCGTAGGAATGTAGAATGTAGCTGGAGTAATTACAAGCACAGTGGCCAATCAGAACAGACAAAAAGATGACAAGCTGCTGCTGAGAACTCAAAGTACATGAAAACGTAAGACCTGGATTCAAGGCAGAGTAACAGATCAGTCAAGAGCTTAGTAGCAAGGAGTGAAAATTTTACAATCTAATACTACTCCAGACACTAATGAAAAACAATTACTCTTTAGTTGAAAAGAAGCTTCATAACTGAAATTAAATTGGTGGCAAAAAAACTTCGAATTGAGTCATTTCATATGATGTTTTCATTTCCCAGTTAAGTCTTCTAGCCTCCAGTTTACCTAGTAGTAAGCTTTATTCATGAAAGTTGTATCTTTTTCCTGACATTGACAGACATCTGAAGTGGTTGATCCTGCTTCTAACACGACGGCCGTGGTTCTAGTCACAGTACTGGACACGAATGACAACTCGCCCCAGTTTCTGCAGGATCGTTACGACTTCAATATTCGAGAAGATCTGGCTCGGCCAGGGTACATAATTACTGATCAGTTGAACGTGCAAGACAAAGACATCTATGTAAGCTATACTGCGTAACCAAAGAGTGCAAGAGTGCCTCATCAATACAATAGTTAGGTTAATGATTAGATGGAAGGGCATTTGTTCTGTTAAAACCCAGTTTCTTTAAGCAGATGGCAAGGAAAAGTTAACTTTATAATGATCAACACGATAAAATGACGTCAGTCAACTTTATAATCAACACGATACAATGACGAGTTTTTAAGGAAAAGTAAAACTTTAACAAAAGTAGAATCTGAAGAAAATTCCAAGCTAACATGCTGTATTGCTCTGGGAATGGACCTGCGCTTGAAAGATACTACGGTATCGAAAGTTTGCACTGTTCTGGACTTCTTTTAACTAACGCGTTTTATAACATCTATTATTCTTACCACAACTATTAGTGATTAATTATTGGACGTATCTATTTTTTAGCCTCAGAATCGCCGCTTCCAATATTCTTTATCCGGAGAGGACAGCAAATACTTCACAATCCACCAATCGTCTGGTCTTCTCAAGGTCAATGCGACTTTGGATTATGAGCAACATAAGGCCAATTTTTCCTTCAAGGTAATATGAATAGCATCTTGTAAACATAAAGATTTTAGTTTGTAATCATTTCGTTTTTAATTTATGCATAACTGTTCAGCTTTGATGGCATTCTTAATTTTCAGTGAGGGTTTCAAGCTCAGGATTAATTTGCTTTCTTCGTTATATTCAAGGTATTTGCCAACGAAAGTGAAACTACCGAGAGGCTTTCAAGTTTTGCCATCGTGGAAGTTGATTTGATCAATATAAATGACAACGAGCCTAAGTTTAACCAAAGATCGTACAACTTTACTTACGATGAGGAAATCCCTGAAGGCTTTGTAATTGGAACAATTATGGTATGTATTTGTTGCTACTTTTACTTTTGTTTATTGTTTGTATGTTAGTTCGCGTTACCTCTCGCACTTTGGCGAGTGGGGTCACCCATAGCATTGGCACCGATCGAGTTGAGTTGCGATAAAAAGAGAGAGCTGATGGAACTGACGTGCGAAGAAAAACTGACACCCATGATCGATAATGGTCAAACATCGTGACCTTCTAGAGAACTTGGTGTTTTTTTGAAGATTGCAAAAAGCTGACAATTTTCAGGATTATGGAACTAAATAAATGCTAAACCTGCATTGATTCTTATTTTACCAAATGAGGTGGTTTGAGTGCTGAGATTGCAATGCAATGCATTTTGTTTTAACTGACTTAGGCCACAGATGCCGATCTAGGTTCTTATGGAGAAATCAAATATGAGTTGTACGGCACCGGTGCAGCAAGGTAATATTTGATATATTGAAAGGTAGTTATAAAGATACTAATCTTGCTGATAAATGAAAGAAGTACAGTATCATTTGAAAACTGAGGTCACTCTGTTGTGTTTATAAGCATATAACTGAAGTCCTACGGAGCTTATCTTCAAACAAATTTAAACTGCTAGAAGCAACGATAAAATGTTGTGAGTCAAGTTGAAATACTACGGTAGTCGGTCGTTTCACCTATGACGACGACCAGTTCGCTAACGTCTTTGGTCGTTTCGCCAACGTCTCAGGGCAGTACCCAAGCATCTCATAGGTCCTCTCGCTAAGGTTTTAGGTTATTTACCTAACGTCTCCGTTTAGTTATTATTTCTTCAAAGTTAGCGAAAACGTCTCATAGATGAAACGACCGCAATTAAATACTTTAAGCAAACCGTCATAGATCTCCAAATCAAATCAAATGAATACTTCCAGTCACTTAATACACGTCTCAGGCGATCAGAGCCATTTTCTAGTAGTGCAGACTTTTTTATCTTAATTTTGTTTTCCTTACTGCAGCTTTACGGTAGATTCATCAAATGGTTCTATTCGAGCGAGCAAAGTTCTGGATTATGAAAAGAATAAAGAGTTCATGTTCTTTCTACTCGCCAACGATGGTGGAAGATTTTTTGAGGAGGATAAGCGTTACGTCACAACAATCCGAGTTTCACTGAGAGATATCAATGATAATCAACCCGTGTTTCTCGAGACTCCTTATGCTGCGGATATCATGGAAAACCAAACCGACGTTGTTTTCGTTTATCAGGTCAGTGATTTTCTCAAATTAAACTTACTTGTAGTAAAACAGTCGAGTCTGTCAGTTACTATCAAAATCTGCAAAAGGCGAGAGAGAACTGGTAACAGGTTTAGACAACGCACTTTACAATGGCAAATGACGTTGTGTTCTGTTCATTTTTTTAGGTCTCTGCAACAGATGTAGACGCCGGAGACAATGCACGGGTAAAGAGTAATTGCTTAAACGTGATTGACTCTCCAAAATTCATATTGTTTTCCCATTTTAAAGGACAAGGTGGCTATAAATGGAGCTACAGTTGTAACCGATATTTTACTAATACAATAATGTTTTTTTTCTTTAATCTGACCGCGTAGGTCTCCTTCAACATAACGGATGGCAATATTGGAAATGCCTTTGCAATAAATGAAAGTGGAATAATTACCACTACGATGAAACTCGACCGGGAAACAGTTTCATCTTATTCTCTAACGGTATGTTGTTCAGGTCTCCCTTTATTTCATATTCTTTACCATGCATAATACAAATTGGCAAATGAGCTTGCGCTCGCGTGCCAGAAGTTTTCTCTTTGAGAGTAAAAGCTTCAACCTCGAGATAATTTCTTTCAAATAAACAAAGCACAACGAGTAAAGGATTGTCAGGAAGCTTCAGGAGTTCAAAATCATATGAACTGATACGTTTATGGCAATTCAGCTGATACCGCAAATGTATCATTGGGTACCAATAGAATCTGTACTTTAATAATTGGGTCAGATCAATTTACATGTTTTTTTGTTTTTTTTGCGTAACGTCAGATCATGGCTTACGACCATGGGAAGCCGTCTAGAAACACGACGACTATTTTCACTGTCACAGTCCTTGATATAAATGACAACCCACCAGTGATCCTTGATGGACCGTATCTGACAGCAAATGTTAGCGAGGTAGGTCTACTTTATTGGCCTAAATCAAAAGAAATAAAACTCTGTAGGCCCTCAGGCCCAAATTAAGCTGGAATAATTGCATAATTATCCTGTGGCGACATCACTCACCTTCCTCTAACGTCGTACGAAACGATCAGAAGGTTTTTCTCGAGGAGCTCTGGTTCTTGGTATACCCTTTCAAGATGAAATTCGGTCCAGGAACTGAGGATGAAAAGCCACTTTCGTAGAATGTACTTCGGCTAAATTCTGTTTATTTCACCTTTTATTTATTTTTTATTTTTATTTATTTATTTTTTTCTTTAAATATTTTTCAGGGTAAAGGTGGTGGAACAGTAGTTTACACTTTCGAAGCCTCCGACCAAGATGAAGGCCGCAACAAGAAGTTAACATACGCAATTTCTGCTGGCCAGAATGGAGAATTTATTCTGAATAGTAACACAGGAGTGCTGCAAATATCTCCAACGGGGCTTGACAGAGAGCTTCATTCAAGCTACAACCTGACAATTAATGCCACTGACGGAGGAAATCCAATGTTGTGGGTACGTCAGGACTATGACATTACAAATCACCCTGTAGTAGGCACAGTCAGGGAAGCTCCTTGGCAAATTGACCATTGTATAATCATAAATTTTTGCATTTCTCACAGGGCTACTCCGAGCTGCACATAAAGATACTGGACACTAATGACAATCCTCCGGAGTTTGTTCCCAGTCCTTCAGTCTCACTCTCGACGTACATCAGAGTTACTGATGAAGGACGAGATAGCATCAATAGAGTCATCATCGATGTTAACGCTACAGACAAAGATGACGGAACAAATGCCAAGATTGTGTACTCCTTAGATGGGGACCAACATGGGTACTTCCAATTAAATTCGTCAACGGTAAGGTTGTGAATTTTCATGGAAAAAGCGTGAGGAGAAAAAAAGCTGCATAATTCAGTACCATAAGTGAGAAGTCGATATCAAAGCTATCTTGGAAATGTTTAGAAGCCTGTTAGAAGAGACGCTTGCGTTTTCCTTGCGATTATTCTTTTGGCAAAATAGTAGAACGCCCCAAAACCAAATCGACGAATACGCTCTATCATATTGCATACGAGTCAACAAAGGAGGGCCATTTTAACGGAATAATAGCAAAGTTACTTTTCAAAGAAGCGATCACAAAGTAAAACTTTTTTGAAACTCGTACTCGTCATTGTTATCCTTCAGTGAAGTTTGATTTGTTTGTGTCGCTTTTTCGATTAGTTCTATAACTATTCAGTTACTCAACGAATTATTGATTGATCATACATTTTGGTGAGTACTGCGAATCCTTAATGATTTCCGCAATATTTCTTTAGGGAGTTTTATATGTTCGTAAAGTCCTGGACCGAGAAAACTCGGAGATGACCTTAGATGCACAAGAGAGAGGAGTTTTTTCTCTCGATATCACGGCTACTGATCAAGCTGAGCCTGAAAACACTCGAAAAAGCTCTACCGTGAGGGTAAGAAAAATATCACATCCTTTTTTCGTATCTCAAATAAAGAATAATACAATAGTTAAAACCTGCCATAAAAGTATTTATGGGAGCTGTCGAGTTTCTGATTGTCTTTACAAGAGGAGCCGGATGCGACAAAACATGAAAAAGCCAAGAATATTAAATGCTGATCTTTAATCTACCACCTGCTTTATGTAGATGAATGTTCTTCCTGCAACAATTTTCTCTTGTTTCACCAATTCTACAGGTCACCGTAATAGTCAACGACATTAACGACAACACCCCTCAATTCGACGATCCACCCCAGTCCACCAGCATCAGCGAGGCCGCTCGGCCCGGAAGTAATGTGATACAGGTCCTCGCAGCGGACAAAGATTTAGGATTTGCTGGCAAAGTTGTGTACAATATTACCGAAGGAAATAACAATGGTATGGTGACAAAAGATATAAAATTTAATCACAAGAAGACTACATAATTAGTGCAAGATCGACCCAGTTTTCAATCCACCAATTCTACGGTGATTTTCAGACGTAAATGTTGAGATTTAAATGCAGGTCTGACTCGAGTGTAAAACTGATGAAAGGTTAGGTTCAGCAGTGCTCTCTAGAATCTTTCCTTCTGCCATTTTAGGACATTTTGAAATAACTCCAAGCGGCTACATTCTTGTAAAGAGAACGCTGGATGCTGAGGTTGAATCTTTGTATAACCTGACTATTGAAGCAAAAGATCAAGGAAAACCGAGGAGATCCAATACGGTTAGTATATCTTTTAAGCCAAGCTTCTAGAGACTGGAGATTGTTCACTTTATAATGTGTCTATTAAACATGCCTTTGTCTTTGCTCGTTTGCCTTGGGTTATGGGAGAACTTATGAGTTAGTACAGAAAGCTAGCAGTGGTGGGGAATCAATTCAATATCTTTGTGTCTAGTCACTGTGATCTCATAGCTCCAAAACTTACATTACACCTTTATCTCGCAGAAGAACCTAGCAAGTACAGAACCTACACTAGCTCTCTATTGAGAGCTCTGCAGTTAATTTAGTTTTATCCTAGGTTATTGAAGTGATCACCGTCACATAAACATTGTTTTTGTTTTTCCAGACGGTTGTGTCCATTGTTGTAGACGATGTCAACGAAAACGATCCCGTTTTCAACCAGTCCACCTATCACCGTCGCGTGTTAGAAAATTCCAACGTGAGCACGCTTGTCGCAACAGTGCACGCAACAGACGAAGACCAAGATGCTAATGGTCGGGTGTCATACAAGATCACCAGTGGCAACTCAGGGGAGGCATTTGCAATCAATAATCAAACTGGAGAGGTCACTGTAAAGGGCTCCATAGACAGGGAGAAGATCAAGGAGTATACTCTGAGTATACAAGCTGAAGATGCTGGTCATCCCTCCAGTAGGAAGGTAACATCACGGGGAAGGGGAAGGGAAAGGAATTGCGCGTAGGTAACCGTGCTCGCTTCCGACCGTTCTCGCTCGATTACCGACTCGACTGTAATTACATGTAGGTTTAGTTTTTCCCGTTGTGCTCTGCTAAAATATAGTGTTCCGTACCATCCACCGTTTGTTCTCTTATTTTTCGTGACAGGCTTTTGCAGACCTTGTCGTTACAGTCCTTGATGAAAACGATAGTCCACCACAGTTTAAGGAGAATTCTTACGAAGCATCCATTGCAGAGAACTCGGAAGCAGGAAAAACAGTTGTGCCGGTAAGTACACGATATTCCTCTGCAACTGAACCATAAATCATAACCTAATTTGCTAATCCGTTTTCGGGAAAGAAAACACAGTTTCGAAACGTAGCCTAAAGACAGATAAGTTACCATTAAACTACTAGTAAAGGTAAGGTCTGTCTGCGGGTTGAATTTCATATCTTTGAAAGCCCATCACATTTTCTGTAATATAAAATTACCAGCAGTGCTATGTTGTCATGTCAAATATATTTTTAAGAGACTTTTAAATTTATCGCAGACTGTCGAAATAGGCGCCACAGATGCGGACGAGGGAGCCAACGCAATCATCTCATTCTCTCTCTACGGTGAGGCAACCAAATTGTCTTTTTTCGGTTGTGAAAGTTTTATCCTCCTGTAATTACTTTCAAATTGTTGCCAAGGCTAAGAACCAGAAATACTTTTTCGTCTAATCCAACAGGTACTGGTTCAGAGAATTTCCAGATCAATGCAACAACAGCAGTTATTACTACACGCTACAACAGCTCTCTCGACAGAGAAAGGAACGACACTTATCATTTGACGCTGACTGCCTCAGACGGCGGAAACCAAACCACTTCTATTCCCCTAGTGGTCAAAATAACCGACGTCAATGACGAACGCCCCCGCTTTAGTCAGCAGGTGTACTATGCAAACATATCCGAGGATGCTGCACGTGGTACAACGGTCAGGAGGGTGACAGCCACAGATCTTGACTTCTTGATCTTGAATAAGGAAATTACCTACACGTCAACGGGAGCTGATGCAAAGTTTTACATTAACAGAGCAACAGGTCTGTAAAAGAGGAAATTTTGCTTAAATCTCCATGAAAATTTAGTTAATCGTAAAGAAGCCGATATCTGTTTTAATCTCCTTTTAAGAAAGTATCTTTTTCCTTTGCTTCTTTTATCTATAATTTTGTACTGAAAGTTTAGATTCAGAAAAGGTAATAAGCTTCTGCCCTGTTACAGGTGATATCATCGTGGACTCTGGCCTCGACCGAGAATTCAAAAGCTATTATGTGCTTCATGTAACGGCATCTAACATTGGACAAAATTCAAAGGAAGGGTCGTGTCAGGTTAACATCACTGTCACCGATGTCATTGATGAAAAACCTTTCTTCGACACCGATACGTTGACATTTCACATTTCCGAGAATGCCACAGTTGGAATGAATGTAACTCAGCTGAAAGCTCAAGACAGAGATATAGGCGACAGTCACACTTACGCACTCGTAAAGAGCGATTCAAGTGGATATTTCAGTATAGACCGAGACACTGGTGTGATAACAACTTCCAAAGACCTGGACAGGGAAAATATGACGGAACACGTCATTTATGTGCAAGCAACGGACAGTGTAAACCTGACATCAGACAAAGTGAAAATCGTGATCAAAGTTGATGACGTCAATGACCACGCGCCAGTCTTCACAAAGTCCTTTTACATCGAAGATTACCGCGAAGAATCTCCAAAGGATACCAGTATTTTGACAGTCTCAGCTAAAGATGCCGATATGGGCGTCAATGCCGAAATAAGATTCAGCATTGTTGGCAATGCTACAAAGTACGTTTCAGTTAATCCAGTTACCGGATTTATCTCCCAGGCTGATTAGGAACTTGACCGGGAAATAACGTCCCACTTCAACTTCACTGTTCGTGCGACGGATCTTGGTTCTCCAGCGCTCTCGTCTGAAGTGGAGGTATCTTTAGCTTTGGTCGACATCAATGACAACAGTCCTGCCTTTAACAGGACTGTCTATCGAGCCTACGTCATGGAAAACCATCCAATAGGTACACCACTCCTGGTTGTCACTGCAACAGATAAGGATGTGGGAACCAATGCGAGACTCTCTTACGGACTTCGCGGAGGAAATTTCCGTTTCAACATCGACCAAGACACAGTAAGTTAGAATTTTCAGCATTTTGTCGGAGTTTAGGAGATTTGACACTGGCAAATCAATTTTCGCGTTTATGTAGATCTGGTCAGCTTCTCTGTCGATATGAATATTTTCCTCCACTCAAAGACGGAGCACCAACAAGACGAAATGTAGGTTAAAAAATACATACTAACAATTTACCTGACTACAATTTTGTAATCTAGTTGTGTCTCGTTGCTGTTTGGCAAAGCACGGTAGATAAGATTGATATCTAGGAATGATAACACCCTTGCACTCCTCTCCATCTGGGGCATCAAGTTGGTGCGAACATAGTCTTCACGCAGTACGTCATAGTCATCGTCATAACGCAAAACGAAAATTATCTGCATCTAATTTAAATGTTTCCTATAGGGAAATATAACGACAGCAGTTCGTTTGGACAGAGAGCAGGCTGGCGCTGAATCATATACTTTGACTGTGCTGGCAGCAGATGACGCTGTAAGAAGTCGAGAAGGAACCACACAGGTTAGCAAAGATCTGCTTTTAATTCGTTTCTATCCCAGTTCTCATCAATATCATCATTTTTCGCTTCTGGAACTGATCATGCTTTGCAACTGTTTGCGACAAAGTTTGAGAGTACCAGCGGGTGCCCAATGGTTAGCGGAATGGACTTGATTGCGGGCTCAGGCTGCATTCGGGCGCGAGTGGGTTCGGCTAGCTGCATTTTGGCTTGAGTCCTCTCCGTACTAGAAAATGCAAATCTTTCCTCGCCGGAGAATAGATCCGTACTAAATAATTTTTAGAAAACTCGGATATTTCCTGAGAGGTACCCAAGGTTAATATATATAAACTTTCTCCAATCTTCAAGAGACAGGAGGACGCACAGCCTGTAAAGCTATTTTGATTATCCAGCTTGTGCATACATACATACATACATACATACATACATACATACATACATACATAAAATTTATTGAAGTGTCAAGGTATTTAGCTAAAAGCTAATTGTGGACACAATTGCGTAGAGCTAGTTTATGATTAATTTGCAAACCTGTTTCCATAACTCTCATCACTTAGGGTGTCATCTGCACAATCATTCAGTATATCTGAATTTGCAACTGATTCCCCTTTTAGGTCATTGTAACAGTACTGGATGATAACGATCACAACCCAGTATTCTCGCAGTCAAATTACCTCTTCGAAGTTGCTGAAAATGTCGATGTTGGCCACGCTGTTGGTTTGGTGTCTGCCTCAGATGATGATGAGGGGTCAAATGCAATGATAACTTATCTAATAAAGGCGGAGAATGGAAGTAAGTGACGACGTGCTTGTAATAGTGGCTAAAAGTGCATAGGATATGGAAACATAAGAAAATATAGGATNAACATGTTTAATTTGTTTACGTATCTTTTATTCAAGGTGTACCCATCATGATAAATGATACAACGGGCAGGATCATGACTACGAGCAAACTGGACAGAGAGAAAAACAGCTCTTGGACATTAATTATCATTGTAAGAATAACTGAGTGTATATAATCTGACCATTCTTTTCTTTTGTTCCATTGCATATAAAAATTCATTCAATTTTCCTGTTATATGAAATTCTCCTTTATTCGCGCTGTTTTATCATATTTATACTAGGCTCGAGACAACGGAAGTCCTTCTCTGGAAAGCAACGTGACAGTTCAAATCGTTATAAATGACGTAAATGATAACGCTCCAAAGTTCCAACATGCCCTTTACAATGTCACACTACCAGAAAGCACATTTACTAAGACGGAGGTGAGTGCGCTTTTGCCGTTAAACTAATGAAACTGGGAAAAAATATAACTTACTTGAGTTCCCTTGTACAGGAACAAAGATAAAGAAAAAAGCAGTGTGCTCTCTACAAAACAATAAGTGACTAATAAATTTAAGCAAACGGAATTACAATGATGATTCCTACATTTACTGGTGGAGCAGGACGTATCGGAAGTTCAACGACTAGAGTACAACTGATATATTAGGCCTTGAATACAAAATGATGGCGAAAGTAAGGCCTGTTCACCCTGTTTGATGGTTCAAAAACATTGAAACGTTTCATGGGAGGTTGTTTGATGCTCACCGTCGAAAAGATAATTTGTTATGCATCTTTTATGATAGGTGGAAACTGTTTCTGCTTCGGATCCTGATGAAGGTGGAAACGGTCAGTTTCGATACAGCATTGAGAGCGGTGATCCTGACGACCAGTTTGCTATAAACGGTATGAGTGCTTTTTTCGATTTGACACGGGCAAGGGGAAATACGAAAGATCTGAGTACCCCATGAAAATTTAGAGCCCTAAACCCTCGGGTTCTGTTGTTTTATGCCCTGCTTCTGAGCTCCGGGAAACTCACATCTCTTCGTCTCTTTTTTTGCAGCCATTACTGGTGTCATCACCTTAAGACAAAAACTTGACCACGAAACCAAGGCCTTCTACAACATTACCATCGCAGCACAAGACTTGGGTATCCCTGCCCTTTCTGGTTACACTAATCTCCTCGTAACCGTTAGTGACGTAGATGACAACGCGCCGGTCTTTCACAAAAATGGATACACCGCAAGCATATTAGAAAATGCCACCGCGGGCACATTTGTCGCCCAAGTAAACGCCTCAGATATCGACGCTGACGAGGCGCACAAGACCATATATTATCGGATCGAAGGAGGAAATGAACAGAGAAATTTCGTCATCGGCGAGTTAAATGGCACCATGTTCCTTAATTGGACTGGAAAAGGTCTTGATCGCGAGAAAGTTTCATCGTACACTCTAACTGTAGCCGCCATCAGCAGAGTAAACAACACAGAGCAAAAATCAACAGTCCTTGTAAGTGCAAACAGCTTTATTGTGTGTGTGTGTTTTTCGTTTGCTTTTTGAACATAGAGTCATGTACAACATTTCTTCGCAGCCAATCCTATTCTGTTGTGGTTATCTGGTATAATGCCGAAAGATTTAATTTAACGAATTCCTAACATGCAAAGGTTTTCGATGTGAGCAGAATTCACGAAACTAAATTGGTTATTTGCAAATCCTTTGGTGGAGATTTTTCAGACGGTTAGGGTACCATTGCTTATATACAATACTAATTAACATAACTGATTTGGTGCGAAAAGTGTCACGTCAGCTGTTGCGTAGGAGGGCTTTGTTTCTGTGTCGGCAGGAAGAGACGAGTTCGTTACGCTTGTTGAATGTAGATAGGTCGGGTCGGCAGATGATCAGGAATTTCTCTTTAAGGCATAGGTTGCATTGTTTGCTTGAGCTTTTGTAGGGTAGGTGTGAAGATAGAATGCGCCAGGTGATGGCCGATGTTGTTGTCTTTAAGTGTTCAGATGTGTTTACTGAGTTCGGTAGAATTGCGGTGCTTTGCGTGTCGGAACGATTAGGTGTGGATGCCGTAGCGGGTCTTGAAGTCGTTTGCAGTGAGTCCGATGTATGAATCCGTCGAGTTATTGTCTTTACGTGTGATGGTAGCTTGGTAGACAACAGATTGTTGCAGGCAGTTTCCATCTAATGGCCATGAGTTTTTCTGTCGGCAGTTGCATTTCTTGTTATTGTTAGCGGTAGAGTCAGCGTTTGCGTCGGCAGCATTAGTCTTTACGTGGGAAGTCAGGATTCTTTTGTTGTGGTTGCCAATGATTTGTTTTGTATTGTTCGTGCAGCTGAAACTGATCCTGATTGTGTTTTTGTTGAAGATTTTGCGAAGCTTATGGTCTTTAGGTAAGTGTTTATCTATCAGCGCGAGGAATTAATGCCCGATGTTAGTGCTGGTGTTCTTGCTGAAAGGTGGGTTCGAACCAGAGGATGTTGTTGCGTTGGTTCTTGCGCCTTTGCGTGTGCGTTGGTTCATAGTGAAGTGTGTAGCTGTATCCACTGTCGTCTAGTGCTTTCTGCTAGGCGGGAGCTCCTTGGTCATAGGAGGCTTTGTCGGATGAGAGAGCTGATAAGCGTCTGTTGATACCGGCGGGGAAGTTTTTTGTGGTGATCGGTGGGTGGTTGCTCTCGTGGTGGACGTATTGCAGTGTGGTTTTAGGCTTTGTGTATGGTTGGTGCGTGTTTTGGCTGAGGTTAAATGTGACGTCCAGGAAGTTGATTACTTGTTTGTTGGCTTCTATGGTGATACGGAGTCCGTTGGCGTTAAAGATGCTGCATATTTAAGGAATTTAGGAATTCAATTTGTTCGCCACGGAAATGGCAGGAGAAAGGAACAAAACTTTCGTCCCAATTGATACCTAACCCCTTAAACCCACCTATCCCACCCCAGGAGAGGACATCCATCACATAGTAATCTCTGTGTGGGTAATTAACGTCTCCTACCCCTAACCCTGCAGGAGACGGGACCTCCATTTATTCGTCCTTATCCGAGAAGACTAGAATATCTAACCATTTCTTGATGTTATAGAAAGGTAGCAAATTCTTCTCAATTATTTTAAAACCTTGAGTGTTGGTCCGACCGGAGCTCGAACCCTCGACCTCCTGCACAACAGTCCAGCGCACTATCCATTGGGCTAACTGATGTTTTCAGTGTCTCTAGGTGTGGCGTCAGTGGTGGCAAGTCCGACGTCTTGGTATAGTCCAACATTTATGTTAAGATTCTGTAGCTGGGAGAGGAGGAAGTTTCCGACAAGTTCACAGGTTTCAGCGCCGCCGTAGCTGTCCATAGTTACGTCAAATGTAGTGTCATCTTTTTTTGCCAGGTTTGCTGTTTGTGGGTTAAAATAAAGCTTTTGGCGTGAATTATAATGTTCCTTTCGTGGGCGGTGGTACTGTGAAAATTGGATGCGAGGTCTAGTGCTTTGTTCAGGAGGGCTAGGCTTATGGATGGGTAGAATTCTTCTATGTCTAAGCAGATGAAGGTGGACGGTTGTGTTTGTTGCTTGTAGATCGAAACCAGTTGATGACGGCTGAGGTGTTTTTCCATTGGTTGAGGTTGCTTTTTTACGCGATGTTGGTGTTGATGAGGTCGAGGATCTTTTTGCTCACTTTGACTATTTCGTATTATATATAATGCTGACGTCCGATCTCAACCTGAGTAACACTGTAGACCTTCACAATTCAGCCTATGCTGCTATTAAGGTATCGAATCATTCACTTTCACTTTCACTTTCACTATAAGTAAATGTTCCTTATCTTTTGCTGATCATTTTATTTCTTACCAAAAGTTTAGCTGTACATGTCCACCCTCACTTCAGTTATTGCAATGTTCTTTCACATTGCTATTGTGTTTTCTCATTTCCAGCTGATTGTCACGATTCTTGATGTCAATGACGTCACTCCAAAGTTTGATACAAAGTACTACATCAAGTCAGTGCGAGAGGACATTGAGAAGCTGAGTTCATCCGATGACAAGCGAATCTTGACGGTTTCTGCAAAAGACGATGACGTGGGCGACAACGCTAAAATATTTTACAGCATTTCTAAAGGAAATGAAGAAGGTTTGTGGGGCTGTGGAGCGGTTTACAATGATAGGACGTATGTTGAGGTAGCTTGAACAATTAAAGCTCACTTCTTCAAGTTTGTCATTTGGAGTCGCTTCCATCTATTCCACTTCTAACCATCCTTGCCCTTTTTTGTCATTCCTTTCATTGAAGTACTTTAATATGACATCAAACTAGATTATGAACCTCCTATTAAGCGAGTTCTGGGGCCGTCCTGTAAGTTACGGACCGACTAACTTATCTCGGATTTATAGCCCAAGTGCGACGCGTATAGGCTAAGAATCCCGAGCCAAAAGAACCAGGTTCCATAACTTACGGGACGGACTGGGAAAACTAGGTTAGTGAGATGTTTGATAAATCTCTGGGTTCAAATAGAAGGGGAATATTAATGCAAACAAACTTTTTCATTGGCTGTGCAGAGAGACATGGTCAAGGAAAAACTCGATGATTTTGACGCGGTATTAACGCATGTGCTGTTTGGCAATAAGAATCTGACTTGAAATTTTTAGAAAATTGACATACTCACAATTAAGTACACACCAAGCAACGGAATCTCGATGGCTACAATTTTTTTTCCTTTGTTAGGAGTTTTTACGCTAAATAACGTTACCGGCGAGTTGCTGAAGGCCAGGGCACTTGATCGTGAAGTTAAAGACTTTTATAGCCTTTTGGTGACAGCCGCTGATCACGGACAGCCGCCGCTCTTCAACCAAACCACGATAAACATCACCATCGATGACGTCAATGACCAAACCCCCATGATACATACGCAAGCATTTTTCTCAGTGCTTGAGGTATATTTAAACGTCTTGTTTCAAGTACTATATATGTAAAACGCATCCCACGTATGTCCATATATTACATTTCAAACAGCCAGAAAATAGCGCAATTGGAAGCTGATCTCTGCTTTTAGTTTCTATAAGTGTGATGCAATTCTGGCTTTATTCTCGAGGGGCAAATAAACGTAAAAGATCGTTCAAATCAAGCTGATATACGAGGTGATTTATGAGATGCGTTGGTTAAAGATTTTTGCGCCACACATGATATGAGCTGCTTGGAGTTGGGGAAGAGGGATAAGATAACCCTGCTTAAAATTTATATTCCGCTCAGGAAGAAGGAAAGCACTCCAGGCCCTTTCATACCGAGGGAACTGGGTCTAGTCTCCAAGAGGATAGCCCTTCAGGGCTCGAAAGCTGTCTTTTTTTTTTTCAATCTTGTTAATCTAATAAGCCTTTGTCTAAATCGACCATTTTCTGAGGTGTGGTGGAACAGGCTGCTGAAAAACAGACCAACTGACAAAAACCGCCCGTTTGTCCGTCTAACAGACGGACCAAAAACAATTAATTAACAACCTGGTAGTCAATGAACACACCACTAACCAACCCGCTGACCGGCTACTTTATTTATTGACAGAATCATATAAGACGCACCAAGAAACCCAAAACCGTACCTCCCATTGACTGTAACAGTTTAAACAAATTTTTGTCTCTTCAGAATGCAACAGTTGGTACACTCATCACAACAATTAATGCAACGGACAGAGACAAAGATGTAAACGCTCAGATCAAGTTCACCATCATAAGTGGGAACGATGACGAGAGGTTCAAACTGAATGAAACTAACGGTGAACTTCGGACAGCAAAGAGTCTTGATTACGATCAAGAAACGAATTCCTACAAGGTAAGGATGTATTATCATTTCTGCTTAACATTGACATAAGTGGCCGAAGTTTGGTTAGGACACTGGTGGCCAAGTTTGGATATTGGAGACTAGTGCCCAGTTTATGGATTTTGGACGCTAGTAGTAGATTTGGGGTTCTGGACACTAGCGGCAGATTTGGGGTTTTGGACACTAGTGGCGGATTTAGGTTTTTGGACGCTAGTGGCCGATGTTGGACAAGATATTTCTGCAAGGAAAACTTTTGTCAGTTTTACATACATACATACATTAGTTGACCACTCCCCATGGGGGCTTTTCAGGGCTAATTCCCACCCATCCCACCCCAAGGGAGGACGTCCACAACACAGTATTCTCGTGCGTGGGAAATTAACGTCCCCTACCCCTAACCCTGCAGGAGACGGGGCCTACAGTTTATTCGTCCTTATCCGAGAACACTAGAATATCTATCCATTTCTTGATTAAAGAAAGGTAGCAAATTCTCCTCAGTTATTTTAAGACCATGAGTATCGGTCCGGCTGGGGCTCAAACCCTCGACCTCCCGCACAACACAATCTGGCGCTCTAA